TAAAATTTTTTACTTGAGTTCTTCATGTAATGGAACAAAAGTGTAAGGTATTACAGAGCGAATCCGAGATGTATTGAAATACGCATTTCTTTGTAGCGGCCATCACTGATGTCCTCACAGAGGTGGGTTTACATCACAGATGTAGGTTTACATGGTTTTCGGATCTACGACGCATCATAGAGGTGGGTTTGCAAGGTTTTCGGGTCTGGGAGAGGGGGAGAGAAGGGTTATCAGATCTTAAAGAGATGGAGAGAAGGGCGACGATATGAAAACACCATCCTATTTCGTCAGAGCTAGGGTTTTCGGCGATCGCTTCCAAAGTTGGAGGTGGGGGATCTGTGAAAACCCTAGTAGCGACGAAGACGACTGATGGTTTCTGATAGACGATATCGGAGAAGGTAGAGGGTGGCGTTCCAGATCCAGTAACAAAGAAAATAAGGCATGAAGATGTTGGTGGACGCGTTCTTGAAGGTTGTCTGACGGTGGTTGTTGTGGAGACGACGACGGTGGCTGACGGTGGTGTCAAAAGAGAATCAAAAAAATTTAATTAAAAAAAATGATAAAATTTAATTAAAAAATGATAAGATAAGCTCTTACTATATTTATATTTATATTCAAGTTGATTCAACCATGTTAAAGCTATTATTCTTATGATGTTAAAAAGCTATTATTCAATAATAGCTAATATTCTCTAGTTACTAACTAAATAGAACAAAGCTTGGCTAAGGGGTTTCGGTTGGTTTCTGTTGTTGGGCTAGGCAACTTGTAGCTAAGTCTTCACTCTAGTTACTAACTAATATATAGAACAAGGTTTAGGCTTGGTTTGTGATGTTGGACTACCTAATTTGGGCTACAACTAGGCTTGGATTTAATATATTTAGTTAATAACTATAGAGAAGGTTTATAAGGTGTCTAGCTTTTCTTCTTGCTTCCTATGTGGGACAGGTTCCACAACACAAGCCAATTTTCTATACCAAAGTTCCAACAATGATGTCATAAACAAACATGATTAGGATTAATTTCAGAAGGGAGATGATACCTTCAGCTAAACCTATATAATTTACAAACCGTGAACACTGCTGGAGTGGCAGGATTACAGCCTACTCAAATTTGTCTCATGCCTTGATGCTATGCACATGAAACATGAACTCTTGGTGAAGATCACTGAAGCAGCTTTCTTAGATGTCAAATCTATTACCATATTCATCTGGAAAATGCCTACTATATGCTAAGAGAACTGCAGGAGTAAAATTGGGCGTATATTATGATCAAAATCCTGGATACTTTAGGATGTGTAAGTTCATTTTCATTACAGTTCATTTTTTACCCTAAGTCAGGGTAGCACAGAATAAGTCACTGGATAATTTAAAAAAAAATGGTATGCATTAAAAATGTCAAAGAACCAAAAGTGGTATCCAATTAATAAATATACCTGTACGTAGTAACCAACACTTTGAGGAGGATGACGAATAACTGTTTTTAAGGAAGTTAAATAGAGGTTCCGGATCCGGACAGTTAAAAAGTATCTGGGCAACAGGATTCGAAAGATCTTACTTACAAAATCTATCTTGTGTAGATTTTTACCATCATCTACCCAAAATCTGGCCTATGCAAATTTTTGAGTTAGCCAATTTCAAAGTGATCTATCGTTTGTCCAGGTGGAAGTTTTTCCTCTGCCCCTTGACACCTACCATTTGTCGTGTTCCGGATCAAACCGGCCTTATACTAATGTTCATACTTGTATAAGATTATAGACTTAAATCTCTTTGTAAATTCCAACTACCTAGCTAGAATGATCACGAGACACTAAAATCACCAACACTACACTGACAGATGCTACTATAGAAGAGATTGAGAAATCAGTTCCAATACCGTTTCTGTTGGGGTTGAAACACACTTTTATTCAGAACTAGAACAAAAGAGAAGAGCTTACACGCTCAATATTACAAGAAAAAGAAACAACCCTCTAATACTCACTCTAAGTATTACACACTACACTCTCTGTTTGTGGTGTCTTAGAACTGAGGTTAGAGCCTCTATTTATACTTAAACAAGCCTACAATTACTACTGCTACCATTTATTGTGTTCATTATGTGAACATACGAAGTTTCCATTTGAGTTCTTATTGTCAACATAGATAGAGGTGCAGCTACTCATGGCAGGTTCACACCCAAGTAGGTTTACACTCACATTCTCCCCCTTAAACTAACTTGGCTAGAGATTCGTCACGCCGATCATGTTTCGCATTTCACTATGTTTCACGTATGCTAAAGCCTTTGTAAAGATGTCCGCCCGTTGATCCTTCGAGTTGACATATTCCACTATAATTTGCCCACGTTCAACACATTCTCGTATGAAGTGATAACGAATGTCAATGTGTTTGCTTCGACCATGAAACACAGGATTTTTCATCAATGCGATTGCTGACTTGTTATCGACATATAAGGTGATAGGCATAATATGATGTCCCGTGAGCTCCTTCACGAGATTAGCAAGCCAAATGGCTTGACATGCTGCTGTTGTAGCTGCCATGAACTCGGCTTCACACGTGGACAAAGCAACAGTCTTTTGCTTTTGGGATTGCCAAGTTATCGCATTCCTTCCCAGATAGAAAATCATTCCACTTGTGCTCTTGCTATCAACAGGGTCACCTCCAAGATCACTATCGGTAAAACCAACCAAATCTTCAATTTCACGACCTCTTCCATAGTTGATTCCATAATCAACGGTTCCTTTTACGTATCGCAAGATGTGTTTCACAACTTGGAAATGCAAAGTGGTTGGTTCCTCCATGAAACGACTTGCAATTCCAACCGAAAATGACAGGTCTGGTCGAGTGTGAGTCAAGTACCTCAAACAACCTACCACTCGCCTATATTCAGTTGGATCAACTTTTTCACCATCTTCATCCTTCTTACCTTCAACTTAGGTTCCATTGGTGACGTTGTCGGATTGCAATCCAGCAACCCAAATTGCTCTAAAATCTTCTTTGCATAAGCCGTTTGTCGCAAAGATATTCCCCACTTCTTTTGCGAAACTTCGATTCCAAGGTAGTAAGAAAGTAATCCCAAGTCACTCATTTCGAATTCTTTCTTCATTTGTTCTTTGAATTCGACAACATCATTAGTGTTCGACCCGGTAATGATCAAGTCATCAACATAGACACCAACAATAAGAATTTTGTCTTTTGAGTTCCTTTTGTAAACAGCTGGGTCTTGTGAACTTTTTGTAAAACCAAGCCTTTTTAAGCTTTTATCCAAACGAATGTTCCAAGCTCGAGGAGCTTGTCGTAGACCAAAGAGCTTTATAAAGCTTGAACACCTTGTGACTGTTTGCTTTATCAACATATCCTTCTGGTTGGGTGACATAAACCTCCTCTTTGAGATCTCCATTGAGAAAAGCCGATTTGACATCGAGATGGTGGACAACCCACCCATGTTGAGCTGCTAAGGCAAGAATGAGCCTTACGGTGTCAAGTCGTGCTACCGGTGCAAAAACTTCATCAAAGTCGACTCCTTCCTTTTGTACAAATCCTTTTGCTACAAGTCGAGCTTTATGCTTCACCCACTTTTCCAAGTTGTCTTTCTTCACTTTAAACACCCATTTCAAACCGATTGCTTTGTGTCCGGGTGGCAAATCGGTAAGTTGCCATGTCTTGTTCTTCTCGATTGCATCCAACTCTGTTTGCATAGCCTCCTGCCATGCCTTAGAGGTTACCGCCTCTTTAAAATTCAAGGGTTGATCCGCTGCAATCATCAACAATTCTCCGGTTCAAGGAACACATTTTCGGTTTCAGAATAAATATCGGTTAACGGACGCAATCCCCTTGGCCCAATCTCACTAGAAGGGCTTTCCATATGGGGCGAGGTGAAGAAAACGGGGCTGAGACAGGAGTATGTGGAGCTGGTTCAGGCTCGTCAAATTCAGCATATGGTTGTCCAACTTGGATACATCGATTCCTGGCTGTTTGGTTGTTCCGGATTGATTTCGGGGTCATTTTGAGGTGTTTCGAGGTGTATTTGGGGTTGTGGTTCAATTATGGTAAAGGTCTTAGGAGTCGCCATCTTCTTCTTTGTTTTTGTACCAATTCCATTCTTCTTTTTCGTCAAAAACAACATCGCGACTAACTCGCAACTTTCGGTCTTGCGGATCAAACAAACGGTTGCCTTTAGTTCCATCTTCCACACCTAAATACACCATCTTCTTACTTCGATCATCAAGCTTCTTCAAGTGACCACCTACAAGTTTAGCAAAAGCAACACAACCAAAAACTTTTAGATGTTCAAGGTTGGGCTTTTTGCCAAACCACGTTTCATAAGGCGTCTTGTCGGGAAGTACTTTTGTTGGCAGGCGGTTGAGAAGATAAACTGCATGTCTAACCGCTTCTCCCCAAAACTCTCCCGGAACATTTCTACCTTTGAGCAGACTTCTTGCCATGTCCATAACGGTCCGATTTCGCCTTTCTACAACTCCGTTCTGTTGAGGCGAATATGGTGTCGTAAGATGCCTTTGAATACCATTTTCTTCACAAAATAATGAGAATTCTTTTGAAGTGAACTCTCCCCCTCGGTCCGTTCGAAGTGTCTTTATTTGATAACCCGAATTCTTTTCAACCATCAACTTGAACCGTTTGAAAGCGCTCAAGGCTTGAGACTTCTCCGATAGCATGTAAACCCACATCCACCGGCTAAAATCGTCTACTAAAAGGAGAAATATTTACTCCCTCCAACAGACGTAGGTGTGATCGGACCACATAAGTCCGCATGAACAAGTTGTAGAGGTTTTTGAGCCCGAAAAACTGCATGATCGGGAAAGGAATTCGGGTTTGTTTGGAAAGAACGCACCCTTCACATACTTGGTTTGGGTGCTCAATCTTTGGGACTCCGATTGCCATATTCTTTTCGGACAACTTCTTTAAGGCGAGAAAGTTAACATGACCGAGTCTAGAATGCCATATCCAAGCTGGTTCGTCTTTTGTTGCTAAAAGACAAGTCGGTCTACCGGTCCTTAAAGGAGTTTTATATAACCGGTTTGGGGATCGTTTAACTCTCAAAAGTAGAGTTTTGTTTCTGTCAAACAATGTCAGATCCGACCCATCCATTATGACCCGACTCCCTTCCTCCGTCATTTGTCCAAGACTAATAATATTGTTTTTTAGACTTGGAATGAAATATACCTCATTAAGGAGTCTTTGGTCGCCATTTTTGCTATCGAATAAAATCGACCCTTTTCCCAAAATAGCGACGGTCCCGAACCATCCCCAAATTTCACATGGCCCGTAACGTGCTCATCTAGTTCGCGAAACTTTGAGCGGTCTCCAGTCATGTGATTGCTAGCACCGTTGTCGAGATACCATACCTCAGACTCGACTCGACTTTCTCCCGATGCAAGAAGATTAACACAAATCTTCTCTCTTAGAGACACTTTTTTGTGTGCATATTCTTGTGAGGTTGCCATCATTAAATAGGCTCTTCTTCGTTGGCTTGAGTGAGGTTTGCCTCCTCACCTCGATTCTTGTTTGGACACTCCGAAGCATAATGACCAAATTGTTCACAAGTAAAGCATTTGATTTACTTTTATCCTTTCGAGAAGGATTATGGTCATTCCGATTTGTATTGTACTCGCGACCACCTCCTTGGCCACGTCCACGACCTCGGCCTCGTCCCCGGCCTCGGTTACCATGTCCTCCTCGTCCTCTTGAAGTGTTTGACGAGTTTCTCTCGCCAGTTTGCTTCGAACGAGATGCCCACTCGGCATGTGTAAGCAATAGAGAAGGTCCTTCTTCTTTTTCTCCATAGCTTCGAAGTCTCTCTTCATGGGTCTTAAGACGACCCACAACTTCTTCCACCGTCATATTCTTCAAATCTCCGAATTGCTCGATCGATGTTACGATTTGTATAAATCGTATCGGTACGGCTCGCAAAAACTTCTTCACAACCGTAATTTCTTCAATCTTTTCACCTAGAGATCGAATACCGGTTACGATAGTATTCAATCTCATGGAAAAATCATCTACCGATTCACTGTCTTTCATCCGGATCACCTCGAAGTCACTTCTCAAGGTTTGAGCTTTAGCCTCCTTGACCCGATCGGCTCCCATGTGCATCATCTTGAGCGTTTCCCATGCTTCTTTAGCTGTTTCCTTCTCAGCTAACATCAAAAGTACGTCCTATGGAATTGCTTGATAAATAGCTGCAAGAGCCATCCGATCTTTACGTTCGTCCATTTCTGCATTTTTAATTACATCCCATACTCCTTGTGCTTGTAAATTCACTCGCATTTTTATGGCCCACACCGCGTAGTTCATCTTCGTGAGCATTGGATAGTGTAACGTAACGCTACCGTCTTTCCCGGTCCTTTGAAAACTTTCAACTCCGGCTTGAGAAGATGACGAGGTTGGTGTAGTCATTCTTGGCATATACTTGGGCATACACGAGTAAGAATATAGATATATATATATATTATATATATATAATATATATATATATATTTATATATTGAAGTACGGGGACCAATATGAACTTTTCAGAAGTTCAGGGGGCAAACAGAACTTTTACAGAAGTAAAACAGGGGCTAAATTGAAATTTTTCTGAAAAAACGGGACCAAAATTGCAATTTTTCTGAAAAAACAGGGGCTAAATTGCACTTTCCGGAAGAACAGGGGCTAAACTGCAATTTCCAGAACTTTGGTCAGCTGCTGACGTCACTGCTGATGTCACTGCTACAGTGCTGCTACAGTGTCGTCTTCTCCGGGAACCCTGGTTTTTCCGGCGACTTTCCGGCAGATTTGACCAACTTTGACCGGTGATTTGGAGGCCTTCCGTTGGTCAAAAAATTCAAAAAAATATATTTTCGGAATCCTCAGAACGAGACATTTCCAACTGTGTACTCCGAAATTGTTTTTGAGACAAAAAAACTTCGACCAAAAAACAGAGAATGCTTCCCCCCCGGAGCTTAACCAAGCTCTGATACCACTTGTTGGGGTTGAAACACACTTTTATTCAGAACTAGAACAAAAGAGAAGAGCTTACACGCTCAATATTACAAGAAAAAGAAACAACCCTCTAATACTCACTCTAAGTATTACACACTACACTCTCTGTTTGTGGTGTCTTAGAACTGAGGTTAGAGCCTCTATTTATACTTAAACAAGCCTACAATTACTACTGCTACCATTTATTGTGTTCATTATGTGAACATACGAAGTTTCCATTTGAGTTCTTATTGTCAATATAGATAGAGGTGCAGCTACTGATGTCAGGTTCACACCAAGTCTGGTTTACACTCACAGTTTCAGTATAGGAAATATATGAATGTAAGATCAGTAAGTTTATGTTGGTTGACTTTGAGGTCTCATCGCTACTCATATGGGGAATATTGTAAAGATAAAGAAAAGATAAGTTCCTTTATAAAGTTTGTTTGGATAGGAAGAGCGCTCTTGAATATTAGCTTAAATACAACCCTTTTTTTTATTTAAAAAGAGTTGTACATGGCAATTCTTCCAACCCACAAGGCCACAATGCAAATCCCCTTGTGAAAACTATATGAATGAACAGTAACATAATGATAAAAAGAATGGACTAATCTTGGTTTCCTTTCTTACATCAAATGGTAATCGTTTTTGGATTTTTGGGTAGTCAGTAGGAAGGAGGGCAATATACTCTCTAATTTAGGACAGCAATACTTTGTTAAGCCGCAAATGGAGAAACATATCTAAAAACCATCATGGAAAGTATTTGCATGAAAGAAACATCGATAAAGCAGTCAATTCGGATAAATTCTCACTTCAACAATTTTGTTCACTGGTTCTTCTTAGAGTAAATTCTGGTAATTTGGAGTTTATTGCTAAATATGGGCATGCTGGCAAAGAAAATATTTTCCCAGTAACATTCTAACCTTTATTTATGCAGTCGGTGTCTAGTAGAATCTAGCATATAAAAGCTTGTCTTTTTAAATATTCTGGATGACAATTTACTGTTAAAGAATCATATAAAGTGATGAAGCTTTTGTCACTTTCTAAAGATATGTACGGGTATGGGCAACCATGATTCTTCTTGATAACCCATGTACTGTAGAATTCCCTCTTTATGTATCTTTGGGTGACCCAACTACTAAAGCTATAGAAAACTTGCTGGAAAAATGTAGATTGAACAATATACTAATATATTAGTAATCTCATGTTCAGAAATGTCAGGTATGCTAACAGGTACAAGAGGGTTAAAAGAGCTAGCAGGCCTGAAGGAAAACTGAAGTTAGTTAATATGAGGGAAAAGAAGATGGATACTAGTTGTAGGTTTCAATGAAAAACCTTTTGTGTGAGATAATAAGACAAAATTAAGTGAAGGGAGTTACACGCCAACCAACCACCGCATGAGTTCATTTCTTTGCATCACTTGCAAGCAATATATCCACATCACATTCTAAAATGACTCTTGTAGGATGAAAAAAAAAATGAAATCACTATAAGCAGCCTGTTGGTAACTTAAATCTCAAGATTTTGAGGACAATAGATGTACGTATATTCCAAGTGAAAGAACATGTTAGGAAACAATTGGATATATTAAAAAAGGGGCCGGGTGCAATGTTGGATGTTGGCATATATTATCTGGTTAAGCAGAATATATTTGTTTTGTTCCAAAATCAGAAATTCTTTTTCTTAGTAAATTTTTACATCTAGTACCCAAGCATAAAACTATAATAACTCCAAGTCCAAAAATGAATCAGCACGCACTTTCCAGCTTATAATTTTTATTCAGCAAAAGAGATGCAGGTTTTTACAGAAATAAAAAGAATAAGAGGTACGGCCGTTAGATAGAAAAAGAAATAGAAGCCAAAAAGATCTACAGCTATTAATTAATTAAGCAGCCTCTTCTGTGCCAATGCTTGTTACTCACTTCCTGCTGTACAGTCACAAGACATGGGAATCATGGGCCATAATAATAGAAAGAAATTTGCTTTATAAATATATATATATATATATATATATATATATATATATATATATATATATATAATGAGAGAATCAGAATTTCAACCACTCTATTTGTCACTCCATTGCAAGACAATCATTAAAAATGCCCAAAAAAATGAGAACATCACCACTGAATTCTACAATTTCTTGTGTTCCGTACCACCACCGACTTTGTCAATTTGTGCAGAATAAATACAGTTGTGCTTTTTTCATTTTTTGTTCAAAAACACATAAAATTGCAATGTTTGGTGATCTTTTGCATTTTCACAAGCATATTACATGTCCTGCAACAAAATGATAAGTAATACAATTGCAAATCTATTTCATTCTTAATTAACGTAGTGCATGGTAGTCAAAAAAGAGTTGATAAGTATATATTTATTAAAAAGTGTCCTTTGAGAAAAGGTATCCTGAAACAATTAATGCACCCAAATAAACTGATGAAATGGCATACAAACATAAATGGCCCTTCACTTTGTTTTGAGCCAGTTAAGCTCCTCTAGCCACATCATCATATCTTGCTTCCTTTCTTAAGGCTGCAGTAAGATCACAGCATCTAATACTTAGATTCTTACGTACTCAATTGTACAACACGATTTCTTCTTTATCACACAAAGACAAACAAAACCTTGCCAGAGAGAAAAAGAGGGGTGAACGTTCACTACATTCTTTAAACTGGTGGCCAAAAACATCCAAGTACCAAAATAAGACAGCGAAGTTGAAAGGCATGTGAAATTAGAGATTGTCTCATGTTGTTATGATTTGTGCTAACTGTATAGGCTATATTTAATAACCATATATTTTATGCCAAAACAAGCCTATTCACTAAGAATGACTTGATGTGAGAAAAAAACAATTTGTGCACATTGTGTATACACTAAGCAAGTGATTGGACATGTATGATGATTCGTGGGACAAACAGAGTAAAGAATGCAAGTACTTGTATGGATGTTCTGTAATTTTTATCATACATGTGACAATTCCATGCATCATTTCCCTTAAGCTTTTGTTTAAATGCTTGACCTTATCGACATATCAATGGCTATTACAACCTTTGTTTCAACTTCTTTTCTTTTGAGGGTGAGAAGTGGAGGAGGCTGTCAATTGGATAAGTATATTCCTCATCTATGCAAAGATGTTCTGAAAAAAGAAATATCAGAAAGCTCTAGACTTTACAGTTGACAAAAATACATGCGTTCAACATGACATGTAATTACCAAACTACCCACCCACAGATATAGTTGCCAAGAACTTTTTAACAGATTCCCAAGGTTAAAGATGTCATTCTGATATGTACTTTTCTGCCATGCATATCAACCTATAGAGAAGATAAGCCACTTGTTATATACTACACAATTACTCAGTAATTTCCTATCATCTGCAAGTCTGATAAAGAATATGATCTTTTTTCAGAATCTAATAAGAGCCACCGCCCAAAATTTTCAACACTTATCACTATATATAGCCATGGCAGTTGCTTACATTACTCACAGCAAACATCACACCTAACTTTCTACATACAGCCTCTAACAACCTCACTTCCAACGATTTATTCTACTAAATCTAGTGTTGTTTTATAATACTTTTATAAAACATCAACAGCTAGAATTTCCAGAAATGGCTTTGGTTACAGCACTGGTGAATGAAAGGCCTGTGGCTATATTCAGCAAAAGCTCCTGCTGCATGTGCTACACCATTAAGACACTGATAAGCAGTTTTGGGGCAAATCCTACAGTTTATGAGGTAGATGAGCATCCACAAGGGAAGCAGATAGAGAAGGAACTAAGAGGATTAGGGTGCAAGCCAAGTGTGCCAGCTGTGTTCATAGGAGAGGAGCTCATTGGTGGTGCCAATGAAATAATGAGCCTTCATCTCAAGGGTCAACTGGTACCCTTGCTCCTCAATGCTAATGCTATATGGCATTAGTGAAACATATTCACAAATATCAAGTTCCTACAATATTGTAGAGGATGGAGCTATTTTGACACAACTATGAACAGCAGATTGATGCATTCTAGTCATTAGAACGGGAACAGAAAGAAATATTTTTAGCCTTCTTTTTGCTCTTCTGAGGCCAATGATAACTAATGTGCTAACTTCCATATGTAATTTCACTACCTTTTGAGAAACAATAAGAGATAAGATATTTTTTCAGGAGCTATTTCTTTCCTTAGTCTTAGAATTTGATGTTAAAAGTGTGTTAATATGCTTAATATCTATCGTCTTGTAGCAGTGATCTAAATGCTATGACCACTATACAGATTTATTGCATTCTGATTGCCCATCTGAGTCAAGACGCATAATTGAAAACAGAAGCAACTTAAGGACAAGAGATATTCTCAGATTTCAATTTTTTCCTTCCCTCCATTATAGAAGCTTATACATCAAGGTTCTGTTGTGGTCATTGATCATTGATATTGCTACTTTGATAAATTATATGATACAAGATTGCTAGGATAACCTCAAAGTACCCCTATACATCATAGTAATAGTTTGCATTAGACCCTATATTAACAAATGGCTAAATTGAATCATACTTCAGCAGTTAACTATGGGTGGAAATCCATACGTTATTTTAATTGTCTCCACTTCATGTACACAGAAACCGTGTGCATACTAATGGGTCTCTATGATAAAGCAAAATAACAAATGGAAAGAGAATCGTGCAATTGTATTTATGCAGAAAAAAAATCAAAATGTAAACAAAATGTCATTATAACATGGTTTTCTGTCTGATTAACAAAATGATGACCAAAGGTGAGATTTCCATGCTTTATTACTGATCTTGTTTCCTGATCTAGATTTATAGAACTAAGATCTGTAAGTGAAAAGAATAAGTTCCAAAACAGGTTTTTATGGTAAAGCAAGTTCACTTGAGCACTGAAGACAAGGAAAATATGAATGACATCCCACAAAAGTCGATATATAAGTTTACTGATAGGCATTAAATATTGTATAAGTTAGTGAGCCAATATAAATGTCCCTTAGTTTCGGCTTTGGCCAGTTATACAAATTGATTCCTCCGGTTCATACCACATGTCATAGTTTTCCTCTTGTTTTGGCTTTTGGGGCTGTGCATGTATGTAGCCATATCTAGTACCAGGAAATAATAAATTATTTTATGCCCTATTGTACGGTTTCATTTGATCCATCACCATCATCAAACAAGAAAGATTAGGGGATATATTCATCCAATACATCTATCTTGATCGAGATAGACCTTGAATTCTCTACAAAGGCTAAAAAGAACTATATGTCTTCGTCACAAACTCTAAGCCGGAGCCACAACATCTACATGGTGTACTTAGGCTATGTTTGGTGTACTAGCTGAAAAGCTAGTTGTTAGCTGAAGAGCTAGATGCTAGCTTATATGCTAGCTGATAAAAAAAATAACGTTTGGTAAAAACTAGCTGAAAGATATAAATTGACAAAATATGATGTTTATAACTAATTAAGGGTATATTGTAAATTTAAAAAAAAAAAACTCCTGAAAAACTAGTCCAAGTAGCTTTTTAAAAAACTAGATTATAAGCTAGCTTTTAAGCTATTTTTTGGCTTGCCAAATATGACAACATAAAAAAAAAAAAAAAAACCCTCGAAAAATAAGCTAGCTGTGACGCGCCTAACATAATCTTAGTAGTTTTCTCATTAGAAGCTAATTAGTAGATATGGCACTTGCTAACCAACCAAGTGATCTTAAAGTCCAAGGTTTAATTTCTTGAGAACAATCTCACAGTGCAAAAAGAGACATGTAGTATCTTCCTCCCTACCTTGGTTTTAAAAAGCGTGATGCGCTCCGATGCGATAAGGGTCCTGAAGGCCGATGCATGATGCGAATGCGCACGCATCACGAACTCGAGGTGCACAAGTAGTCATTAGTGAAGCATAATGCATTATGCATGATTACCAAGATAAAATAATAGTTAATAAAACACTATATAAATAGAAAATATGAATTTAATATCTTAGATACCATCATACTATATTGTCTTTCTTTTCTTTCTGGATCCTTATTAAGTTCAGAGGATACATATTTGGCGTTGAAGCATAATTACTTTATTATAATCCATACAATTATAGAGAATGCAGAAAAAACACCACAGGGAATTAAGAGACTTGCTTGTTTCTTGTTATACATTTATACATTAGTTTCAAGTATAAAAGTCAAAAAGAATTTCTTCACTTCTAATTTCTGGTTATCAAAAAATTAAAAAAGAAGAATCAAATTCAAAACTCAAGAACCAAAAAATCAAGCTAACAAGAAAACGGGTCTTAATTAGTCAATACTGAAATACATGGAATGCAAAACAAGTACAAAAAATCAAGTTAACAAGAAAACGGGTCTTAACAAGAATCCCTACTTGTACGGACTCCATGTGTTTTATCATGCTAAATAAGCATCTAACTATTTAGAAACTCCACCATCCTTTTGTCATTACACTATCTGTTCACTTTATGTATTTACACATTGGAATCTAAAAAAAGTTAACATGAAATCCAAATTCTATCTTTGGTAACAAAGACATATTCTCCCTTCTCTAATTATTCGCATTTTTTAAAAATAAAAATAAAAAACTAACGTACATGTGCACTCTACAAAGTCCAGCATACCGTTAGTTGTAAGAGTAATCTCAGCATCAGATAAGGTTTCTTTTAAGAACAATATCCCACTCATTTTAATTCATCACTCTCAACCCCTTATATATAGTCACGATGGTGCTCCAATTTCTTCAAAGTAAGGTCTTCATTCTAATTACAAAATTATTTCTCTACATATATAAAGGCTACTTGTATCTCTCCTTTTTGACAAGACCCTTCTTCCTTTTCCTTTCTTATAAACTAATTAATGGCCTTGGTTACCAGCTTAGGTGCTGAAAAGCCAGTGGTGATATTCAGCAAAAGCTCTTGCAGCATGTGCCATTCCATCAAGACTCTGATAAGAGGTTATGGGGCAAATGCTACTGTATACGAGATAGATGAACACCCAAAGGGGCAGCAAATGGAGAGAGAACTGAAGGCTTTGAGTAGTGGTAGGCCAAGTGTACCAGCAGTTTTCATAGGCCATGAACTGGTTGGTGGGCCTGATGAGATAATGAGCCTCCAACTCAAGGGCAAGCTGGTGGACTTGCTCAAAAAGGCAAATGCCATATGGGTTTAATCAAGATATTGAAAAGACAAAAAATCACTCAACATTTCTTATGAAATATGACTATTATGGTTGAGTAATGCGAGTCTTTAATTTAGAATATGTAATATCATGAGTACGTACCCTTCTCAAAATTTTATTGTGGTTACATGTGTAATATATATGAAACAAATAATTCTGCTATAAAACATTTGAGGCCAGTAACATTAAAAAAGTTGAGAAATAAAGTTTTAAAAAAAAAAAATCTGCCATGATTGAGATGCCTAAAACTTTATCTTATTCTGATCATTTGAGTACCAAAATATATATTCTTTTAAATTTTGGCATCTTTGTAAAGATTAATGCACCAATGACACATGCACACTGCTAGGTCCCTCATGTATGCATAATCTCGAAACAGTCAATGTCTTTTTCATACTAGAGTCCCTCTTGCATATCTTCCACCAAAATCAGTGAAACACCTTTGAGCCTCTATACATATAGTCTTGAATCATTTCCGCCAATCCCTTGATCTTTCTTCATAATTCTTATTATCTCGGTTATTTTATTCAGATAATGGCCATGGTTTCAACTTACAAGGTTGGCTGCTGAAAAACCAGCGGTAACTTTTACTAAAAGCTGTTGCTGCATCTCCCACTCCCACACCATTAAGACTGTGATTCACAGCTTTGGGGAGAATCCAACAGTTTATGAGCTAGATGTACATCCTGATGGCTGGGCAGCTATTAAAGAGAGCTGAAAGCAGTAGGATGTAAGCCAAGTTTATAGGGCAGGAGCTGATAGCTGTCCAAATGAGATCATGACACTCCACCTCAAGGACAGGCTACTCAGGCTGCTCAAGAAGGCCAATGCTATATGGGTTTAGCTTTTATGCATGATAAGAATAAGTCGTATGATGTAACTGTGTCTCTTTTTTTAGGTAAAAGTGTGGTTATGCTTCAGTAGTTTTTGTTAGCCTTTATTTAAACCTTTACAACTTCTGTACGTGTACTATGTAATGTCAATCATGATATGCAATCCTAATTTACAAGATCGGTATTAATTGAGGTAGCCAATGAATCATCGTGAAATCAACTCAACTAATTAAGTGCAGGTAGACATCGAATATGACAAAGTAACACACGTTGCATGCAAAAGGTTGGACATAAGCACCTCAGATAACAACGATAAAGAATATAGAATATGATCATAAGTAGCAAACACCACATACACAAAAATGCCCATATCTACTATGAGAAAGTGAAAGAAGTCACAAATAACATTTCAAGAAACAAAATAATTTGTGTAAGCCAAATTTTTGAGGATACACGAGACAAGTGACTTGTTCTTAAGATTCAGTATACAGCTGAGCCCATTATAGTCCAAAACTATTCTGATATAAACATTTTTTCCCACATATTATAGTCCAGAACTCTGTAGTGGTAATGGTAAAATAAAGTTAAGAGGGGTACAACAAGCTATAAAGAGCTGTGCAGAAAAAAGCCACTTGAAAGATCAATTGGGTGATGCCTTGGTAAGTCTTTAGCTGTGACAACTTCTCAACCTTTCCATCACATTTTGGTCGTCATAAATGACTAATGTTTAATTGTTTATTAATGTACATGCAAAAATAATAATACACACACACAGCCATGTTTTCAAGCAGAAATTTAAATGTTTGATTCGTTCATCATGTGAAACTGTTACCTAAAACCTCAACTTGTTTGATATTTGAATGGTGGTAACTCTTTATAACCAGTACCAGTTTTATGAGCAATAAGTTTATCAATTCCATTACAGCTTGAATTTGCAAATGATTGACAGCATCAAGACATAAGATCCATCAGTGCTAACAAGGGTGATCTAAAATCATAAAGAAAGATGGAGAGAGCCTGATTTTGAATACTACTTTTCCCTAGATCAGAGTATTTTGTTAAATGATTATTAAGCAATCTGTCTTTATTGAGATAATGTCTCAGGATAAGTTTATTTCACTCTATTATTGCACTCCTTCTCCAATTCTCTATGCTTATCATCATGAAGCACTCTGGCTCCTCAGCAGTGGTCCTCATCTCCACTTCCAGCTTCGCAATAGAAAATACAAGAGTAAATTTCATAAATCGTCCTCATGTATATATAGTGGAATTATGGATATCATCCTTAAAAAAAAATTCTTTTATTACAAATATAACCATAATTATAAAGAAGAATTTTGATTGCCTAACTTGGCCCTGCCGTTTAGTTTGGTCCATCTAAATGATTGCCAGAGTTGCAGAGATGCTCGAAATTGTTCAGAAATAGGATCAAACTTAACAACGTACCTGGAACACAACATTACACAATTGGCCAGTTGGGAACACTATTAATTAATAACACAATCACAAATTGAGAGTAACCCTATGTGGCATTCACGCTTTGCAATTACCATTTCTCATCAATGAACTGCAGTTCCCAGATTTTCCTTTACACTTATCAGTTATCACCAAAAAACCAGAAAATAATTATAAACATTCCGAAGCACATGATTTTGTAGAAGAAATCCTAGAATCAAAAATCATACGACGATCGCTATTCCTATGAATATATAGATTTCCAAGAAGTCCACCACCAAAATTTACTAAAACCTAATAATATCATTCTTAACTTCCCTTTGATTTGAAACACTCATATATCCAAACCCTCACGATACAAGTTTGAACCATATTACACCGATTGACAACAATACGATAAACATGAAACACACAAGCACACACAATGATACAGCGACACAAAGTGATCGATATACACAAACAGTGGGATGAGAGAATACCTAAATAGTCAGGGGAACAGAAGCGAGATATCTAGCCTTGTTTCAATTGGCATATCGATGTTCCTTATATATAAACCAGTTTTGATTCGAAAATAAAACAAAACTAATAATTATAGATTTCTGAAAGAAGGACCGATATGTATTTGAGCCGTATCAGATTACCTCTGCTCGTTGTAGCAATCAGGTTCACGTCCTTCCTTCACCGGCCAGGACAACATGCAACGTTCCGACTTCCGATCCAATTTTAAGAAACCCAACCCGAACACCAACCCGTCGCCATATGCCATGTTTAGATTGCTAATTTAACTCCATAACCATTTTTTATGAAATGTTTATCGGAAAAATATTACCGCACCATAAAGTCGGGGCCGGCCCAATACATGGGCGAATTGGGCTTAGGCCCAGGTCATAAACTTTTAAGGGCATCAAAATGGTCCAGCTATATATATACTATATTATAATGGCCCAAAAACTTAGCCCATATTTTGTTCTGTGATGTGATCTGAACGTGAGAAAGGAAGAGACGCGCCAAACAAATGAATAATCATCGTCTCATCGATCATCCGCATAGATAAACCAAACGTCGCCTCTCGCTTGGTGCCTACTCCCCATAAACCTGTTGGCTTTGTCGATGGGATTAATGCAGCATTGCCTACCTAGAAACGTCTCCAATAAATAAAAAAGTAAGATTTGATTTCTCTATTTTTCACTTCCAGTCGATAAATCGATAACATATAGCTCTCAAATCTCGTTATCTCAATTTCTTTTTTTATTAGTCGACACTTAGTCACGATATATCAACGATTTCTCTGATCTAGTCCGGTTTCAAGGTCCGATTTTCTCTAATCTTTTCTTCTAAAGTTCTGATTTAGTGACTCGTTGATTTTGGTGTGATTTGTTTCTTGTTGGTTGTTTCAGAAATCAAGTTTGGGTGTGTTCATTCGAAATTTATGTTTATTTAATTTAGGTTTTCAAAAAACTAATTAATTTCTTATTTAACTCGTTTTCATAAGTTATTTTGAAAATTGGAATGAGAGTATGAGACTCGTCGATTTCACTTGAAAAGAGTTGAGATTCAAAATAACAAGTAGAATCGACACCTTTATCTTCGATGAGTTTTTCTGTACTCTCCTAATTTCAAAAAATATTGATATTCCAATTATTAAACGATTTCATTCGATTTGGGTTCTGTTTCAGAAATCAGATTAATTATTTATTTATTTGATTTCTACTCTATTTGATTACAGGAAAAAAGAGTGAAAGCCTCAAAAACTTATTGGATTTTTATTTTTGTATCATTTTTTCACTGTTGCATTAATCAGATGTGGGTTTTGTTGTTTCTGAAAGCAGATTTGGGTGAGTCCCTTTGAAATCTGTGTTTATTTTGCTTTGTTTTATAAATCTGATTTATTTCTTACTTGTTGGATTTTATATTTGATTTGGGTGTTTTTGTTTCTATAAGCAAGTTTAGGTGAGTTCTATTGTTTTCTCCAAGTTTGAGTTGTTTCAAAAATCAGACTTTAAGAAATCACATTTGTATATTTTGAAATCTGTTTGAATATGCTGTTTCAAATATGTTTTCTCCAAATCTGATTTGTATATGACTTTTCAGAAATCAGATTTTAAGATTCTGGTGAGTTTAATTTCTAATCTGTTTGTGTTTAATATTTGTTTTCTAAACAAATTTTCTAAACCTTTGTGTTTTTTTATGTGATGTGAAGCAGGAACAATATTTCTGGCGTTGCTGTCAAAAGATCATTTCTAATCAGATTTCCGACTTCAAGGCAGCAAAATATTAAAAATTGTAAAATAAGAGATGTTTTTGCTTCAAAAAATGCACAAAGACATCATTTTAGATGATTTTTATATGTTTTTGTTTGTATTATATGGTTAATTATAAAATTTGCTCCATTTTTTTTTTTGTAAATTTTTTATATATAAGGGCATAAAATTCTTATTTTTCCCCGGGTAGTAAAAAATAATTGACAGGCCCTGCATAAAGTTAATGTTTTTTTTCCAATTTGGTCAAAATAAATGAGTCCAACACTTATACACCACCCTCTTTATGTGTTGACTTCATTCTTCACTATTCAAAACGAAACGGTCGCTAGCTAGCTAGGGTGAAGAATCAAATAACTAGGTGTAATGATACAAGCGGACCCTAATGGACTGTTTGTGACGGTGGAACTCAACTATCAAGGGGTATTTACTGTTATCGTGTTCTCTTCTCTTACACTGGTGGTGTGAAAACCATGATCAATAATGTTGATTTTTCTGCTATGACTTACTTTGTGTGTTTGACTTTCTTTGAACGTTTCATGCAGGAAGAATGTAAAAAAATGTATTACTATGAACCATGCCTTTGAAACATCCCAAAAATCATGACCAAAAATTTCATTTTTAATTTAAATAAAATCATAGTTATCAAACCATTTCATCAAAGCATAGTCAAAATATCTCAAAACATTATTATCAGAGTATCAAAACATCGGAGTAAACATCTCAGGCTAAACATAATGGTGCGTGCGATGCAGTTATCCCGAGCTCTTCTCTTTTCCACTGAAAGCACCTGAAACCAAAACTGTAAACCGTAAGCACGAAGGTTAGTGAGTTCCTCATACTACCACATACCATACACATAACCACATATATTGGGCAACCGCCCCTACATCGGGCCTCGCCCGGCATCAGGCCCCGCCTGGCATCGAGTGTCACACCTCCAAACCGGAACGGCGGAAAAGTTCGGGAGCGGAGGACGTCATGTTAAGTATCACAACACATGCACATAGTAATCAAAGTAACAACAACCATCGTGTTAATAATATAAAGTTTACATTATGTTCAAAACATTTCATGATTTAAATTAAAACTATAACAAAAGATAAGACGTAATGCTACTATGCTCCGTCTTCGTAACACCTGAGAAGGTACCTGTCTACTAACGATCCTGAGAATGCAAGTGGTTTAAATAAATGTCAACATTAAAGTTGGTGAGTTCATAAGTATTTTTATTATAAAAAGTATACTCTTTGTTCTTTGGAAAAGTTCGTATGTTCCTCCAGAAAATCCTATATTTTCTTAATGATTAATTTGACGGTACTCGTTACTTCTTGGATTACTTAGTGAATACAAATTATATATAATTCAGATCGAATAAACAGTTGAATGTGTGGATCTGCCTTAAGCCCACAACCAAACAAGGAACAGGAAATGAGGCGGAAGTCACACATTCCACTGTCTGTCGGATCTTCATTACATATAACTCTAGTTTATTCACCAGGTAATCACAGAATTAACGTTAATGATTCTTTTAGATATAATGAATGTGTTTCCTTCAGAAAATCCTATATTTTTTTAGTAAATGGTAACCATAATAGTTCATTCTATAATTACTTAGTTTATACTAACTATATATAACCTAATATCGAACGGACAGTTGAATGTGCGAATCTGCCCTAAGTCCACAACCAAACAAGGAACAGGAAATGAGGCGGAACTCACACATTCCACTGCCTATCGGATATTATTTATATATAACTTTGATGTATAAACTAAGAATTATATAATTAACCATTAAAGGTCCTTTATGTTATACTAGTTTGTAAATAAGTGTTGAACCTTTTGTAAATATATTCCTAGTTCCACTTACTCTATTGTAAAACATTGTTTTCAGTAATAAATGTTATTGTTTTCAGAAAAGTTACATCGAAAATTGTTTACCTTTAAAAATAAAGATGTTTATCATAGAAAATCTTATATTTTCTATAAAACTGATTTGTAGTCTTAATCATTCCAAGACCGAAAAAGTACAAGTATAATTACCATACTTAGTTTAATGATACCTAGTTTTATTTATAAGAACAACTAGCTGATGATGTGTTTGCCCTGAAAACTCGACGTGATGATACTACCCTCCTATGATCTCTTAGTACCTACGAGTCGTATATAACCGATATCGATTAGACAGTTGAATGGGTGAATCTGCCCTAAGCCCACAACCAAACAAGGAACAGGAAGTAAGGCGGAAGTCACACATTCCACTGTCTATCGGACTTCAATTTTATATAACCTTATTGTATATACTGAGTAATCACATAGTTAATATCATTTGAGATTGTTTAAGAAAAAGTATATTACTACGTAAATATATCGTTGTTTTCTCCTTGTGAGTTCTTATAACCATACTAATATGACGGATATGTAACACCCAAAATTTTACAATCAATTTAAACTTTTTAAAAGTCTTTCCAACCATTAAAATCATTACAATTTTGTTTCAAAATGTATAATATCAGAGTTTTTCCCAGAAACATAGACAAAACATGAGGAGCTGTACGATCACGCATTTGCCTTGCCACGATCCCCTGATGTACCTGAAACAATAAACTGAAACTGTAAGCCCGAAAGCTTAGTGAGTTCCCCCAAAATACCCATACCCACAACAACACACACATAATCATAAACAGCATACTATGGGTCCAATCAACCATCGGGTTGGAATACCCCAGGCCCTCAACCAACAGGTTGGAATGCCAACACACTATGGGTCCAATCAACCATCAGGTTGGAATACCCCAGGCCCTCAACCAACAGGTTGGAATGCCAACACACTATGGATCCAATCAACCATCAGGTTGGAATACCCCAGGCCCACAACCAACAGGTTGGAATGCCCACATACTATGAGTCCAATCATCCTCGGGATGGAATACTCACAGCCCACAACCAACAGGTTGGAATGCCCAGGTCTATTGGCTTTCGCACAAAGCAGATAAGCCTCAACCGCCAAACAAACATGTGCACGTATAACAGATAATCACATAACAGTCTATAGACAATACTTGATCTAACGGATCATACCACATAGCACATAACATCATCCCATCTACCAGGATACCGATCTAACAGATCATACCACATATCATATAATATTATCCTACCCTCTAGGATACCGATCTAATAGATCATACTAGCACAACATAACCATATAACAATTCAAAGGGCCGACCTTGGTGCCTTAAACCCTTGAGTATAGTGAGGATAACTCACCTGGCACTGCTGAAGTCCCGCAGACAAAACTCCAGCTGCTGGTTGACAGAATCCCAAGATGTCAACATCAAACAATACCCAATTAATAATTGGGTTCCAAGCCCAAGGTCCAACTCACACTCCAAAGACCTAAAAGTCGAGTAATAGGCCAAAGCCCAATATATGGCACAATTTTCCAAATTGGGCCCAGACCTCTACATGGTCTTTCCTTAAGTCCCATTCGATTATTCCAATCCAATTTCCATGACCCATCA